GTCCACATAAAGGCCTGATCATAGTGGGGCTGTACCAGGAAAAGGAAAGCAAAAGGAACTAGAGCGAGTGTGAAGGGGACAAATAGGGAAGGGAGAAGGAAAACCAAAGACTAGAACTAATCCAGCCAAATCCAGGCTTTGGATTTTAAAACTGTCCCAGGAGTCCTTAAGGTTGCTGCATGCCAGAAGAAAGGAGCCTCAGGGGCAGGGGCAGTCTTGGCACAACAATAAGGAGGAGAAACAGGGTAAAATAGCAGAGTTCAAGCAGAATTCTTTTTCTCATTTAGCCTCGTTCATCAGTCTCATTTATGGTTGGACATATTAGTGTTCTGAGGCTGGATTTATTACTTAACAGCGTAAAGAGTGAAGCATTTATCTCACTAGATGTGGGGGAAAGAGGACACTCAGTGTAGAGAAGAGACTGTCTCAGCTTTGATCCTTAGAGAGGTGGGGCAGGGGACAGGGCAGAAACCCATGGCTCCTGGGTTGAAGTCATTCTGCCTCGTCCTGGGACCCTCCCTTTTCCAGATGATCTACACACATGAAGACAACATGTGCTGCCCTGGGCCCAGCTTCACTGATGTTCATTTAAAGCATCAGCTGTCCTTCCTGACTGCTCTGGCTTCGACAGTTTTATTGCTACTAGTTTCCTGTCCAATGAGTCTCCAAATGTCCTCTTGAATTTAGATGAGTCAAAGACCGTACACCAGAGTGACTAAAAAAACTTGTTCCTTTAGCTGAAACCAGACCACCTCTCCAAGCTTCTGTTGCTTTGGCTAAAGAACTCGGGGGATGCATGCAATTGTATGTATCTAGCTATGTCATGCAATTGTTTTAAATTTTAAATGAGATAACACATGTAGCAGGTATAGCACAGTTCTAGCACATAGTAAGTGCTCAATACCGTACATGGTTCATTTCTTTGTGGCCTTCCATTCCTACAGCCTACAATTTTGTCCCTGGATTATTGCCCAGTTGCAGTGCTGGCTCCCCTTTGTCCCTCCAGCTGACTGCCCCAGGATCTCCCCACACTTCTCTAGCCTGCCAATGAGTAATCTTTCTTGTGATCCCCCAAGTCTACCAGGAAGAAATTACTGGTACTCTCAAACACCCATCTTTTCTTCCTTTTTATGTTTTTCTACATCAATTTCGCCCTGCCTTTCCCAGGAGAGACCCATGGTCATAGTGATCCTCTGCCACAAAGCTCAAATTCCTACCACCACTCCTTATAGGAATATAAAGAGGTATTAAAATAACTGCTTTTAACTTTCAATGGGCTACTTTTTACATTTACAGACTTCATCTTTTATTCTCAAAAGACCTTCCCTAGTGTGTCCCTCAGTACGCAGCTGGAAAATTCTCTCTTTCTATAAATATCTACGAAAGCCAAAGCAACCTCACATCTCACCTTTTGACCTCAACTTTTCTTACACTTTTGAATCCAGAGAACTTAGCCTTCATCCATCCTTCATTAATTTTATATTTGGATACACCATGAGGGTCGTTAATTCAGCTCCACCCTAAAAAATTAAAGTCTGCCACCTTGCCTTCTAGCCACAGAAGGCATAAACAATTGTGCATATTCTCCACACCTATTGAGCCGACATTTTACCTAAACTCTGAACTTGTAAATGTTTGCACCTTGCAAGTCCATTAGAACTTTCTGGAAGATACTTGACTCTCTCCCAAGGCTTTCTACTTTCTGACAAAGCATTTATAGTGCCCTTAAATCTCTGATGTACTCATTTCCTATTCATAAAGTCACTGTCAATTTTTATTTAGTGTCTAAATAAGATTTAAGAGAAATACATAGCACAGTACTAATTGGTCCTTCTGAAATCTAGAGCTAACTTTGACTACTAGTCATTGATCTTTATGTCCATTGTTGATTTTCTGACATGTTGCCATTGATGTCTGTAACAAGTCACTTCCATCCTTCTCAGGCTGTCAGAGCAGCCCAACTCTTCCTCTGTACAAAGGAATGCTAGCATTTAACACCTTCCTTACAGCCAACGCCTTCACGGCTCCTTCCCTACTCTTCAGAATATGAGTATATTCATCTACTTATATATGTCTTCTATGTCAAAGGGAGTAGGGTTTCATCTGTACTCTTACTCTTATTTCCTACCCTCCTATATGACTGCAGGTAGCCACCCTTGACTATATATCTTACACTTCTTGTTCCCTTTGGCTTTAAAACAAGTTCTGTCTATCGAAGACAATGCTGAAGCCTCAGCTTCTTTCATTATTTCCATATCATCCTCATCATCTCTTGATCACATTCTTAATTCTCTTGGCTAAGGATGCATTTCCAGACTAACATATACATGAAAAATAATGGCATGATGGCTTTTTCTCAGTGTCTATTACCTTTAAACTTTCATAGCAAATAGTAAAACTTACTATGACCTTTCTTTATTAGAACCTTCACTTCTTTTCCAAGACTGAACTCTGCATAGTCTCCTCCATTAATTGGTACCACAGTCTTGGGATTACTTAAGTCCTCTCTGAGCCTCAGCTTACTCATTGTTAAATTAGAGTCTTAAAACTCCTTCTTCAGTGAATTGTAATGAAAATCACATTCTGTATCATACCTGTCATATATCAATATTTCATTATGAGCTTGGCAACCTGATAGACAACACACTCACATGCATATGTGAACACACATTAACCACACATACACATCCATAAGTGATTTTATATATACAATGATGCCCTGGATAACAATATTTCAGTCAACAACATACCACATCTAGAATAGTCATCCCAAGTAATTATAATGAAGCTAAAATTTCTATCATCAAGCAATATTACAGGCATCATAATGTTATGGTGCAATGCATTGCTCACCTGTTTGTGATGCTACTCATGTAAACAACTCTATTGCACTGTCAGGCATATAAAATGTAGGACTTATAAGTAGTACATAATACTTGATAATAACTATGTTACTGATTTATATATTTATTATACTATATATCTTTTTACCATTTTCGGATGTACTTTTTAAACTTATATGTAAAATAGATTACTGCAGAACAATATGCTGTCCTATGCCAGCTAGAGACTCATACATACCTTGTTTACCATTACTTGTAACATATTTAAAGACACTCAGCTTTAGAACAGATTTTCTTGTGAATAACTCCAATTATGTACCTTTGATGTGGCTAACAATAAACTCTGCTGAACAGGGATGAAACTCATTGGCAGCATCTATGTTGCTTGCTAACTGCGGACATTCCTTATTAACTGAATACTGTCCTTGTGACTAGGTCGTTAAATGAATTGGTTCCTCAATGAGGAATTGTATATAGTGTGTACATTACAATATTCAGAGCAAAGAAATGGTCAAAGGAAGCCCCAACCTGATGATTTTGCTTTTACTTGCATAACTCTACATGCAATATTATAATAGATAGCAGAACATAAAACTATAGTACTGTACTCTTCAGTAAGTCAGCAAAAATTACAGTACTATATAAACAAGATGTGCTGTACAAAAAAGATATTGAGGCTCTATGAACAAGATGCAAAGAACTTAAAAAAAAATGAGTTCTAAGTCTGAGTGGTGGTCATAAATCTGAACAGCATACCCCAATTGTAAGTAGGAACTGTTGTTAAACAGGTAGATTGTTAAAGGAATAATGTCTTTACTTCCAAATTCTCCCCTTCTGCCTTTGAGGGGAAAAGATAAGGTTAACTGCGTTCACTCTGTTGCCACAGAATTCAGGACCAGATCAAATGGAAGGCAACAACACAACTTTATTACACTGACAGGCTGGGGAACCCAGAGGTCCAAATCACCAGCCCCATTTTGAGGTTACAAATCCCTCATATAGGTTTCCAGAAGGAAGTACAAAAAGGCAGATAACAGAACACTTTACAGTTTGTTACACATGTCTTTGTCATTAACTGCTAGACAGAATTTACTCTTACAGGAACTAATAAGTTACTATCATATAATAGGGGGAAGAATCAATCATTGTCTGAGACTAGGCAGAGGTGTCCTTGAGGTGATAACTCTCTGGGGCTTGAAAGTAAGCAAAACATCACTGCATGGCTAAGCTGCACCAACGTTGCAGCTGGCTCTCAGCTTCCCAGTCTCCTCCTTGAATAGTGTTAGAAATGTAGGATTAAAATTTTCATTACATTTAAAATAGCATCTGCACTGTAACCTCTATGGCTGGATGAGGCTATGTGACAGTCACTTGGCAGTCATGTCCCTTCTGGGCTAGAATATATATTTCACTGCTAAAAAAAGGAAATCCTCAGGAATACATCTTCACTTCATCTGAGAACTATATTCCAAACAAACAATTCTGTCCACTAGGCAGCTAGAGTGAAGCCAATGCAACACCATCAGCAACCACCCCAGTGTGTATAGTTTGTATTGTTTTCAGTCATTGAAGTCACAGGGTCCACACCATCATTAAGCCCTCCTGGTTGACAAAATTCACCATGTAAGAATGACTTATTCTAGATGGAACAGCTAGAAACTGTGAAAGGCAATATGTCAAGCTCGTTCAGCTTCATAAATGCTAAAGATACTGTTGTTTTCACAGCTCCGAGTAGCTTACTATATAGGTTCATTCCTTCTAAAATAAAGCATCATTTTCCCATGAACCAAAATACAAACACTGTTATTATCTGTCCAATCTCAGTTAATAGCTTTCCTTTTGGTAAAATAAAAGAAGCTCAAATTTTTCACTTATTTCACAAGTAGGGCAAGGAGATTAGACTTAAATATCTTCTATATGAAGTTTCAAATTCTAAGTAACAGTTCCCAACTATGTGACAGGCAGAAAAATACTTCTCACCTGGAATAATCAAAGTCTTGTTCAGATAGGTAGTAGCAATTAAGTGACAAGGACTGCAACACCACCCAGGGTGTGACATGTATTGAGATACTTTCTCAGCCCAAACTGACTCTGGGTTACCTCACAGGAAAGGCGGAGAAACCAAGGCTCACCTTATAAACATGACTTCTTCCCTAGGGTATGGTACATTCAGGTGTGTGACAACCTCAAAGCCATCTCTGCCATGAAGATCCTCTGGGGTCTCCTTGTGCTCTGCACACTGAGCCAGTTCTGCAGCAGTTCAGGTGAGTTAAGGGTCATCAGTGCCCTGTACAGCTTTAAACTGTTTCCCCCAGTGATCCTTCCTGAGCACCAAAAAGAAGTATCTGGTTATCTGGTTATATAGACTTAAAGTATACTGATTTATAAGAGAAAAAGCCCTGATCTGAGAAGAAATGATCATATGTTCCAGCTGGAGTTGGAGTTGAGGGATTTGGGTCTAATGTCTTTTGCAGAGTCCTATTTACACCTATGGGCTACTACACCCCCATATCTAATTTATCCACAAATGTCTTCATGTTGTAAGGACACTGGAAGTAGTTGGTGTTATTAGATGTCATTGCTCAGGTGCAACATGAAGGAAAGCTTAGATGTCTTCCCAAACCAACATAGAAGGACCAAAATAAAACGCAATTCTCCAGAGGCCAGCAACCAATAATTACATAATTTTATGGTGAACATGTACTTAATTAAAACAAGTTTCTAATACTTTAAAGGCATTCCATTAAATTTCCTTATGTCAATTATGTGGGAGAGGAAGGATATCAGGATCTCAGGAGTGATGAGTACAGTACATAGTGCTACTGACTTTCATATTTTTATAATGTCAAAGACATTATAAGCTCCTGAGAATGTCTCCTAGTCAATAAGGAGAGAAAATTAGCCTGAAACAAAGGCTAATTTAACCAAATAGCTGGTCAATTTCCTCAGTATGCAGCTGGGATTTTGCATGAGTGTGGGTGTATGCAGAAACTCATCGCCAAAAGAAATGCACAGTCTTTAATTAGAGGACAAAACATACATTAATTAATGAGATTCAATGCTTTGCTTTATTTTTCACATTTTGTCTGTCTCTTTCAGATGTCAACAGTAAGACTTTAACAACTGTAAGTGTGTTGAATAATATTTTAATGTCAGTTTCTATTGGTGGTTAATTAGCTAAAAATACTTTTGAAACACACATGCATGATTAATTCTGTATGTTTGGAAGAGTCAAAGGGGTAGGCAAACAAAGATAATGAAATACTTCTGCTCTCAAGAATGCAAGTGAAGAAATGCAGCATAAATATAGTAATAATGGCATCCCTCAATAATGTCTTTTAAATCCAGAGGTAGAAGAGAGAGGGATGATTTTCCTTTATGACATAGGTTATGTTTTCATGCAAGGGACAAAGTATGAGAGACAGCAGATTCTGCCTTGATTCAGTTGCACAGGGTTTGGATTTAAATCCCAAGTCTTGGGGCTGGGGATTTAGCTCAGCGGCAAAAGCGCCTGCCTGGCAAGTGCAAGGTCGTGAGTTCAGTTCCTGGTACCGGAGAAAAACGAAATCCCAAGTCTACCATTTACAAGCATTACTTCACACAAGTTATATCTCTTTTTAAGCTTTAATTTCTCCATCTTCAAGTAGAAATAATAGTAGAAATTATCCTATTCTACTATTCTAAATACTAAGCAAGTTAAAATCATGTGGATTTAAATTGATTGCCTGGCACAGAAATTAGTAAATGGAATTAGTGTTACTAGTCCTCACCCTGTCACAGAAGTAATATTTTGTATAAAAAGTAGCCTCAGCAACACCAGGACATCTGAACTCAAACTTCCAGGTCTTATAGGCAGAGGAGCTTTGCTTGAAGTCAGATAGAAAAATGACGACATTCTCCTGTGTTTCACTAGGTTGACTGCAGCATTTATAAGAAATACCCAGTGGTGGCCATTCCTTGCCCCATCACATACCTACCAGTTTGTGGTTCTGACTACATCACCTATGGGAACGAATGTCACTTGTGTACAGAGAGCTTGTGAGTACCTCAGGGAGAAAAAAGAGCACTGGGGCCAGTGTTCTCCATTACAATCCCTCCTGTTTCCTGCAACCCTTCCATAAACTGTACTTCTTTCCACCCAGAGCTGCTGGTATGGACAGAAAACTGTTGTGCAGTCAGATCAGAGTTGGGCCAGACCCTTCAATTCCTGTCTGTCAGTTATACAAGACCATGAGTTCTCAAGCAGATATCTATGATATCCAGAGGTGCAGTAGGAGCAAGTCAGGAATCACCAGAGGATATCCTACAGGAAGTACAATTTTTGACCATTTTCAATAGTGCCATATCTTGTCTAAAGACAGGATCCCGAACTCTACATCATAAAATAATAGTGAAACTCTATCCTACATGATATCTAAAGTGCTTAACAATCTTAAACACAGCTTGATTCTGAGACATACTCAGGTCCTTTATCTTCAGTTTCTTAAGGGATCTAAGTATCTTTTGCCTTCAAGAAACGTCAGCAGCCAATATGACTGTTTTTCTTTTATCTAAAATAAGAGCAGCAAGCTCTAAGAACTTGGACCAGGTTCTCAGGAACAGATTTTGTTTAGGTATTTTGTTTGGCATGCAGAGTGTTTCTTTGAAAAACTGTAACTAGCCAGATGTCACCTTTTGGACTGAAAAACATACAATTTAGCAATTACTATCTCACATCAAGACTACTTAATAACACCATTAATTCTCTTCTAAGCCACCAACTTTTGGCTACTCATTTTAGATCTCCTGTTTTTCATTTCTGTGGAAATGAAATTAGAATATCAAGTTAGGTCTGAGCCCAGCAGGACATGTTTACATATTTATTTTCTTTTGAGGATGTTTTATTTCACAAAAGGAAGATTGTCTCAAAGAAACACACTGAGCTCATGGCCAGAAAACTAGTTGCACTCCAGGGGTACTGAGAGGAAAACATAGTGAAGTCCTCTTTGCTAATTCAGGATGCAGCTTCCTCACAGGCCTTGCTGACCAGGAAAGGTTGAGGGATAGAAATGTCTTTGGTGTTATTTTAAGCCATCCAGGATACGTGGGCCTTGGGATCAAGGAAGGCAGCAGAGTGGGTAGAATTATCTTTAGGCTGTAGAAATTCTGCTCATGCCTTGGGCAGAAGCTTCCCAAAGAAAAAACAAGACTTTTCTAGGGCCCAGTTTTCTGATCTGTAAGAGGAAGCCCTACCTAATAATCTCTATAATTTTTATCAACTGTAATCTTTATACAGATTTTTTCCTATATAAATTAATCTTCATAACCATGTCTTTCTTTAGGAAAAGTAAAGGAAAAATCCAGCTTCTTCATGAAGGACAGTGTTAACTTCTCCATGGATGTGTGTAGAAAGCCATGATATTACATCATCTTCATCATTCCTGGGCTGTGACTAACTTGCTTTCATCTCTGCTGATGTTTTGAGTGGGGGCAGAGCCAGATTTAGTAATCACTATTGAATGAAGAAAGTCATTGTGCTTTTCCCTACAAACTCATGTCTCACTGGAAGAGACATGCCTTATTTTATACCTCAATAAAGAATCTCTCCAGAAAATTCATCACTACTTTTATTTTTATTTGTATTTCAGATCATGTGTGATATATCCATTATAAAAGAAAATTGAGAAACATGCAGTTCTTTTATTCAGGAGAAAATTTTGTACTAAGAATCTCAAGTGGCTTGCAAGTTACATACACGCATGCATTCTTGCACATGTGCATATACAGAGCCTGAAAACACCTTACACACTACTGCAGTAGTCACCTACTGAAAATTTATCTATGAACCATACTGGTTCTTTATATTTTACCTTTTTCCAAAGTATGTTCAGAGGAAATTTTCATTCCAAGAAGTTATTCCTTGAGGGAAGATTTTCCCGTCCATTTCTTGGTAAACACATACTACAGTTTCTCATGGTCCCAGATCTACTGGAACACACATGTAGAAGTTACTTCTGCATAAGGAACATATCCATTGCTGTTGAGCCTGATGTTTGGGATGCTGTGCTTGCCCAGAGTTGAAAACCACATTCACTAGGCTACCAAGTATCAGAGCAAAACACAAAGAAGCTAACTCCTGCATCCAGTTAACAGACTTTCAAGTACTTAAAGATAAGTATTCTGTCTCCCCCAAAACTGATTATCTTCAGAATAAAAGTAGCCAGTTAATTCTGTGATTTCTCAAGTCTTATTTTACTTATGTATTTCTACCCTGGATCATTACACTTGGATCTATTACAATTGGTATTATCTATCTTATGGTATGCTAATATGTTGATCAAAAAATTGACCAGCGAACTCAGTTTCCATCTAACAGATGTAGGAAAATAAAAGTTATCACTTCTCTACAAATTAAGTCCTACTATTAATGAACCCTAAAGCCTTGAAGATCATAATTATGACATAGAAACATTAACAGAGACAAACCAATGTATTTACAAATAATGGGAAATGAATTAAGATGCTCCCCAGTTAATTATAATTCAATAAACTCAGGAAGGTCCTAACAACTTAATTTTTTAATGACGTACATTCAGAATTAGAAATCTCAGAGAAAGATATCCAATCCAATCTGGTGTTACTACAACACCGGACCCTTGTGAAAATCAAAAGCATGAAATTAGCAGGAAACACCATTTGGTAAAGGTGTAATTTAATCTAGATTCAAAGTGACAGAAGTGTGACTCTTTTCCAGAGTCTCTCCTGGCAATTAGAAATGGAACTTGGCCTCTATTTGTCTTGCTAATTATTTCACAGTAGGTCAACACCACATCTATTCACCCAGTAGCTTCTGTGAAAATGCATGCAAATAGGTCCTTTTAAAATTTTTTCACTTCTACTTTATTAATTTTATTTTGTTTTTGTTAGTTTATTAGTGCACGTGCATAGTACAAGCTGTTTACATTCTTTGTGGGAAATTGGCACACATACATAACACAAATTAATCCTTTTTTTTCATACCCTATCCTTTTCTTTCCTCTCCCCTCCACCATTCCTCGATGCTTTTCCTTTTTCTGTACATGTCTGTAGTACATCATGTAGAATATTCCTTGTATGAAGTTGGTACATGTGCATGACATATCCCGATTTCTTTTTTTTAATTCTTACCTCTTCTTTCCTTCTCTCCCCCTACTATCTCTGGTGAACATCACTGGTCATTAAAGAAATGAAAATGAAAACAACACTGAGATTCCATCTTCCTCCAGTAAGAATAGTCATCATCAAGAAGGCAAATAACAAATATTGCTGAAACTACAGGGAGAAATAAATCTTTCTACACTACTAGTGAGAATTCAAATGAGTTTAATATAGAAATCAGTTGGAGATTCCTCAAAAAACTGAAACTAGAAATTCCATTTGAGCCAGTAGTTCCCCTTCTAGCCATCCTCCTGAAAGAGTTAAAAACATCACGTTACACAGCTTCGTGCATACCCATGTTTATAGCACCATAATTCATAATAGCTAAATCTTGAAAGTGGTCCTATGTCCATCAGCAGATGAATGGATAAGGACAATGTGCTTTTATACACTGTGATGTAATACTCTGAGATAAAGAAAGATAAAATTGAGTCGTTTGTGGGAAACTGGATGTACCTTGAGAACATAATGTTAAGTGAAATAAATCAGACATGAAATTTTAAATATCACATGGTTTCCATTATATGAGAAACCCAGAGTAAAAATAGAGAGCAAGATAAGAAAGCTCACAGGAAGTAGGGAGATAAATCATTTTCAAAGGGGAAGGATAAACAGGTCTTTTGGAAGAAGAATTTAGTCACAGCATCCACTAAACATTGTGCCTAGAGTAAAGAAACAAACTTCTCCACCAAAATGTTCACATCCGAATCTTCTAACTATGGTATTGTGGTTTAACTATGCTGGGGAGGTAGCTGGTTACAGTGAGTATATTCTATTTGAGAAGTCTAGAAGCATGATTGGTGTAATGTTGCAAGGGGTATGTCAACTTGATTCAACTGTGAAACACCTGGCCAATTAGAAAACTGCCACTTTCAGTGTGTCCAGGTGCATCATAGAGGCCTGACCTTGGATAATGTACTGTATGTGATCCTAGACAGTTTGTTCTCTGACATTCTTCCCTTACTCTGCCTTCCAGCCTCCAAGAATTAAGCAGCTTTGTTCTGTTACTCTCTTCTGTCAGTTTTTCTGCCTTGGAGGCAGCCAACCATGAACTGAAGCCTCTGAAATCATGAGCAAATTAAATCTTTCCTTTAGCTAGCAGGTGTCTTCTGTTGCACCACAGGCAACAGGAAACCTGGTTAATGTACTTCAGAAGAAAAAGGATGAGTGCTAAATTACACAATCAGTTTTTGTCCCAGGAAGTAGAAACTTGTGTCACAGGAAGTAAAATCTCTTATTTGCAAGTGATGTTAAAAAGCAACTTTTGTTTTCCATCTGTTTCCTTTTTTCTGTCTATGGCCCTATCACCCTGAACATGCCCAATCTCATCTGTTTCCTTTTTTCCTAAATCTCTGTTGTTGTTACCAAACTTAAGGGTAGTTTGATTCTTTTTTTGTTATCTAGGAAGCATTTTAAAAGTTATTTGAAAATTTCTGCATCTGCTTTAGTCTTTAAATCTTGTTTTCAAACAGAAATTTATCATTAATGAAACGTCACTAGGATTTCCAAATACATTATCTTAGATACTAAATTGAATTATAAAAGTGTGTTATCAAGAATTTGTCAGCACCTAAAATACAAATGATGAAAATTTATTTCTACTGAAGTATGACATTGGTGATCTAAGATTTGTTTTGCACAG